GCGATTGTATCCCTCCCCAGACCGACAGACAGAAATCACGTTTTAGCTCCATACCGGTGTCTTAACAGACCGGCTTGTCCCGGCTCCTTTCCTCCAAACCACTTGTGAATCCCTGCCAAACCCAAGGCTTTTTTTCCACCCTCATCTTCAACTGAAGTCATATTACGCGTCCAAAACTGAACTGTTAACGTCACAAGTGTCATTGCAAAATGCAGCAGCACATAATTGAAGATGCCCGTTGGGTTGGTCCGGCGTTGGGTTGCAGTTAAAATAAAAGTGTGCGTCGATAGAAGCCACCAGCCAAAACAATACAGGCATTCAGGCAGCCCGAATTCAGATGAATATTAGGGGAAAAAAAACGCACCCTTCCGCACACAAATCCTTCAAGCAGCACCCCCAAAATAATTCGAAAGAATACAAAATTCTCCGCGCAGCAGATGGAAATGAAAAGTTACGATTAAAGGACCGAGCAACATGGGCAAAAAGATCATTTCAAGGTCGGAAAAATGTAACCTGTTTTTAAAGCCGGGCGAACGCAGGGCAGATCTTTTAGCTAGGAGGTTACCCGGGACAACGTAACAGGTTTCTATCATTACAAATGGGCAAAACAATTAAGCCTATTTTGTGAGAAACCCATCGCTTGTACTGGTTGGTCTGGGAGAGGTGTAGAAGCAGACAGGATGGCGATTTTCGCTGGACTGTACACATGCCACGCCGGTATTCAAAACACTTTCTAACAGACCTATCATTTCGATCAAAAATAAGCCCTTCGTTCTCTTTTTTTTTTTACTAACCAAACTCTGAACACTACGTGAATTTGTTAACAGCGTTTGAAGGTCTTTGAAAACGCTGCATTCCTTCAACCAGAAGCAAAATGACAACATCAAATCACCTTCCCATCTGAGCCATCTGCAAGGTTACACCAAATCAGAAGATATTTAAACGCCTCCCTTCAGCCCTGCTGATGAAGTTGGGCTAATTCGCAAATCAATTAAGAATGCATCCTCACGAAAGCCACCAGAAAATGACCTACATTTTAAAAAAGACCAACCACAAACTTCCAAATATGTGTCCTCATCGATTGCAAGTTCCCACCCCTCTTACCGAAGCCCTCAAATTCGAATATACTTTCTGCTGTCACAGAATATTTTTTTTAAAAAAGCACAGAAAACCATAAACAGGAGGCACAAACTCACGTCTTTGGTTAAAAGACTCCGTAAAATACCAGTCGAGCTGAAAAAAAACGCAAGTCAGTGGAAGGACAACTTGTAAAAATGACTGTTTTAATGACTGTTATTTTTTTTTCATTTTTCTGCCTTTGCTGTTGCTCTAACGGCCTGGCCGCCATTTTGAGACACAGAAAGGAGGCGCAAAAAAAATTGCAGCCACATCGTCATTTTTACCACCTTGTTTTCTTAAACACAAAATCAACACCGGAAGTTAAACCGCACAAATCTTACCGTATTGTCTTTCCTCCTTCTCCTTCGCCGGGTCAGGTACTCATAAAGCACAAGATGGGGAGTATTTTTCGGTACAAAGCGAGGGACTTCGGATTTCACTGGCTATGTCTATCTCCTTGTCTCTCCTCCGATCCTTGTTTTCTGTACCGCATTCGCCTTCGGACGCAGGGCACGCGCACGGACTCGCGTTCGCAGTCTGTTTGACGGAGGCGCGCACGCCCCCCCCCCTCCACCTCCTCCCCCGCACTTCAGCAGCGTCGTTCGTTTTTCGCGGGCACGCGCATCGAACGTCCTCTTCCTTGTTCACGCCCGAGCGCGCCCCGACGTCCCTTACGTCATCAAACTGCTGTGCTGTGGGACCGTAGGGTGTAGGATATTGTGCGCATGACTTTCCGGCTGTAGGGGGGGAAAGGGGGGGTTTGAAGACGTCAGGTCTGACAGCGCTAATTGTCATCAATGAATATATCTCTATTACCTATGTACGCATGACCCGTTCAGATCACTTTATCACTGACAAGTAACTTCGATATACTTTCACTGCTGCAGCAGAGAAATGCATCTTCAGCAGCCGGAGGGAACCTCAGCAAGGGTCGCAGTTATTTATACTTTATGTTTTTTATTTCTTCCATCATACATGTATGTTTCTTATTTCTTAATGGGTTCATGTCGTGTTAAATGTATCGTGTTATGTCTTTTAACTGCCTTGGAAAGTAAATTTCCCTTCTGGGTCTTTAAAGCAAGTACCTTCCTTCCAGAAAAATTAAGTTGCTGGTTTAGCTTATGAAGATGAATCAGTCACATTTTAGCAACTGTTATTGTAAAGAGAACCTATCAAATTAATGTCTAATCTTGTGTTCTTCCACTTGCAGAAATGCACCTTCCTTCTGCTTTCTTCCACAGCAAAGCCCCACACATGAAGCAAAGTTTGCATCCCAGGGCTGCTATACAAAGGCACACCTGTACCCGGGCTAGACAGAGAATATTACTTCCAGCGGCGATAATGCAAAGCCATCTTTGTTATTTGGAAGTGGCTTTAATAAGGAATGCCATTGGTCATCGCTTAATGGCGGGAACAGAAGGATTTGTGTAAAAAGACCAACCCCAAAACAGGCTGAACCTGCAATACACAGATTAACGTCTTGTCTACTATCCTGTTGTCTGTAGGATATAGGAAGGATGGGGTTAGGTGCTGAAGACCTATTCAATGAGGTTTGTACAGGGCAAGCTCCCAGCAGCACAAAGCTGTGGCACAGGTGCTATTCAGGTAAGCACTATACTGTGCTACACACAGGTAATCACACACGGATCCATCAGTGATACCATGTGCCACAACTAGCATATCATCCACAGGTATAAAGACAATCCCAAGTCTTCAGTAAAAAAAATCACAACTCTATTCCTCTTTAATAGTCTTTTTTTAATTTGCTCATTTGAATACAAAAGCATACATGGACAAAGAAAACAAATGAGATCCAGCTAGCCGCAGAGAAGAGGGACACGGTGACCCCTTGGCCCGAGAAGTCAAAGCACGTGCACCAGGGTACTTGCTCCCTGGCATCCTGCCGTCAGGGGCATCAGTGCGTGTCCGGCCGCAGCAGACGGCAGGCAGTTTTACCAGGCCACGGCTTCCCCAGGTCACTCTATTTCAACTCCAGTACACAGGCCATAGCAGGGACCACACCGGACCGAGTTCCGGTTCATGAGAAGGGGGGAGAGCAAGATCACACTTTCTCATGATAAGGACTGTTCCATTTCAAGACACGCCTTCCATTTCAATGCACAGTGTAGGCCAAAATAAAAAGAAATGAGCCTTTCTGGGTACTAAGACTTGTGTGTATGAAATCCGGACAACACATCAGCATACTAAAACCTCTAGGCTTTTGAGTTTGAGATGAGTAATTGGTAAAGAAAATACAAGCAGGATATGGTAGAACAAGATCAACCTCATTTTTTCCTCAAGAAAAATCTTCCGACACTTACGTTTTCATTACAGCTGCTAGGAACATTTATCAGACCAACTCTAAACTACACAGCTGATAATGCAGTCATTTTTGGTCCTCCTATCCTATTAAATCAAACAATTGGGTGGCTTTTATCACTCTGTAGTTAAATACAGCCAGCATGCCTCTCCAGTGATGACCTGTAAGCTAGACATGTGGATCCCACAACACTGGCTGATGGGGAAAAAATCTACCGTCTGTTTGCTCTTCATTTATAATCATCATTAAAATTACACATTACATACATCATTACTCAATGCTATATCACATGGACGTTTTGGCATCGAGGGAGTTCAGAATCATTCTGTACTATACCCTCCTGCAAGTGCCTCAAAGTTCAAATGAATTGTTGATATTCCACTAGTATTTTTTGCTGTTGGAATTCAAATGGAAATTTCTTAGACTGAAGATGCTACAACGGGTACCAATTTTAACTTTTTATTGCTTACTAAAACGCACTCTCTGAATTAGCAGAAGTAAATTGATGTGGAGTCCATTTAGAAATGATCTTTGCAACACTTTTTTTTTTCATTTTTGCAATGTTTTTTAGTGCCACACGATGCAAGGTATGTAATATATGTCCCCATTTGCTGAAAGTAACTAAAATGACAACTTGTACTATGCATGCAGCATCAGAAAGCTGGTGATTTCTGGTAATGGGCATTGCAGCCAGGAGCTTATCCCAGCTGCACAGTGTGCAGGACAGGAGAGAGCTGCCGTCAGGATACCAGTCAATCACAGGACACGTGTGCGTACACACACAGGGAAAATTTAGAGATGAAACCTAGCCAGCATATCTTTAGACAGTGGGAGCAATCCAGAATACATGATAAACTCTCAGGCAAAATTTAAAGACAAACTCCACGCAGAATGAAAACATTGTAAGGCAGACGTGCTTACTGCCACAGTGTGTAATTATTTTAAAACTAAACATTTCCAAAGGTATGTTGTATGGGGTGCAGTCAACCTGCATGTCTTCCAATATTAAACCACAGACTGAAGGTTAATAGAAACAAAACCTTCAAACTCAGTTGCTGTGCTTATTCTTGCTTGGCAAGCTAAACAGGGTGATGGCTGTACAGAAAGTGAAATCCGGCAAAAGAATCAGTCTGTCATGTGTTCTGCCGATGAAACTGACCGAAGCACCATTTATACCAATGATGCATTACATTTATGGATCAAATTCTGTAAAGCAGTTATCAAGCTTCAGGGCATCGTTATTCTGTGAACCCATTAAATTAAATGTGTACTATTAGTCTTTGTAGTTCACCGGCTGTTAAACGGCCGAGATAATTCCAAGGACAGCAAAGAACTTTCTTTCAAACATAAAAAATATATATAACCCGCTGTAAGGAGTCAGTAATTCTGACAAAGGGAGAATCCAAAGACCAACAGAAAGGAGATGACATGAACAGAGAACATAAGTCCTTGCTGACATGCATGCAGAAAGATATGCATTTTATTCTTTATGCTCGGAAACAGCTTGCTCAGTTTAATACAGATCCCTCCACTTAATTCAACGAGTCCAACCAAACGCCTTCTCTACAGCACAACACTGTGGTCATGAGTGGTACTGTAAGAGGAATTATTCGCCAGTAAATTCGTTTTGAAATTCAAAAAAAAAAACATGTAGGTACACTAACTCTTGCGTCAGTCTTTTGAGTATAAAAATAAGAGCAATCATTCAGAAACCAACACAAAAAAACATAGGATGATGGTATGTGCAAATAACTTCTCAAAACATCCCTGAACCCAGATACAGTATTCTGCATCCTCACCCAGGCAAACCAGATTTCAAATTTACACAAGAGAGCAGTTTTTCTCTGGAGTACTGTGTAGTTGTAGTGAATAAATCTTGGCTTTGGTTCTCATTCAGATATCACCACCCAGCAGTAGAGGTAACATTCTTGTCACTTTCACACCAGAATACCTCAGGCCTCAGTCTCACCCTTTTATCTGAAAATGGGCTTTTATTCAGCATTGCTACATATGTAGACAAATTTCACTGTACCGTATTTCAGGCAGCTGATAGCTTTTTCAAAACAGAAATCCAAATTCATCCAAGACGTCCGACACCAAACACACGGTGTCACCATCAGAAATGAACCACAAATCAGTCTCCTACATATTTTTTGGTAAGACGCTCATTGTTACAGGTGCCTTGCGGAATCTAGTTTGGAAGGCTTGCTGTGCACATCTATGCTATTGGCATGAGCTGGAACAGCAAAAGTGTTTTACAGAATGAACAGCTGTGGAGACCCCATGGGAATTAACAGATGTCAAAACCTGAAAAAAAAGAGATTAGCTTGCAAGCAGAATTATTTAAAGTGGAAAAACTTCCCAAATCGTCAGCATGTAACACTCTTGACATATAATTCTCACGAGACAATGAATTCAGAGACAAGACTCACGTCTGCCACGGTAGGCAGTCCCTTACCCAGAATTCCTTAATTGGGCCCAAAGTACAGCAGAACTGAAGACAAGGCGATGATCAGGACAACGTCACCAAAACAAAAACTTACAATAACACCCAAGTGAAGCTCATCCAGATATTACTTTGTGTATAAAAATGTCTGGAAAAGTTCACCCTATCATTTGACTTTAAGAAGCTTCAACAACCCCAAAAAACACACACCCAACCCCTTCTCCCTCCCAGCAAACGAGCAGAGAACAAACTTTGTCGGATTGATTTGGACGTTTCAAAATCTTTACACTTCCACCCACGTGATTAAAGTACCTGCCGAAACCCAGAGACATATAGATACATACATTTACTCATGTATATATTTATATAAAAACAGACTATGGAAACTCACAGATAAATTACCAAATTTTAAAATGGCTTTTAAGAGAATCCATTTTCAGGACACATATAACGTGTTACAAATAAATCTTAGACAGGGCAGACATTTTACCCTTCTAAAAGCAATTGTCTATATATTTATATCTATATACATATATACTGCTACCATGTCAGTCTTTGCACAGTCATAGATATAACTATATAGAACACATGATCCTGTCAAGGTAAGGGGTGTTTTTTGCAGCCCCATTTCGGAAACATAAAGATCACACATTCCAAAGCTCACACTTTTTTTTTCTTCTTCACCACAGTGCACCGAACAGCCAAAAAAAAAAAAAAATCACCTGAGATTTCAGTATACCTCAACTGAAAGCTTGCATTTTTCAAGGAACAATTCCGGGCTGAGCTGCTGTCTCTCTCTCAGGTGGGTTTATGAGCTTTTTCCCCCCCCTCTGTGGGGCTGTGATGGGGGTGGAAGAAAAACGGGGGCTCAGGGTATGGGGTGGGGGAGCCGAGGTGAGAAGGGTCAGCGTTATGGCTCTGCGTAATTTCCCCAACGTCCTCGTCACCCACAGCCTCCTCCTACCCCCCAGTCAGAAGCAACGCAACACTCATACAGCTCCCACGCAATCTCATATTCATTCATTCCAGCTCTCTCTCTCCCGACCTCTCTCACACCCATTTTCCCCACACCCCCTCCCTCCCCTTATGTTAAAATAGATCGTTCAAATATCTGAAGTCCACACATTCAGACGGACGGCTGCTGTGGCGCTGTGGCCTCCTGCGCAGAGGGGGCGCTCTGCATCTTTTCTGCAGTCAGTTTGTTTTCCAGCTCTGGCTGGCTGCTCTCTTGCTGCTCCTCGCTCTTGCCCGAGTCCTGCAGCTGCTGCCTTCTCTGCACCTCTGCCTTCAGGTTCTCCAGATCCTTTTGGCTGCAGGGGGAAGAGTAACCAGCAGCAGTTTTAGAACGTTGCCAAGGAACACCCAAGTAATTCTTGTCTCTTTTGTTCTCTCCCAAGTATGAAAAGGTTACGGGCAAATTCACCTATCTTAGCACCTATTTCCTCTGATAGGGTGTAAATATTACATATTTATAAATTCATTTTTTTCCTATGAATTAAAAATCAGCACAGCATATCCAACCTGCACAATCCTAGCACTCTGACTGAATAGTTTTCTCCATTTCCTACATTTATCCTATATAAAACTCTTTTATCATTTGTATTTCAATTACCGGAACATGATGGGCATTTAAAGCACGAGGCCCCTTCTAGAAGTATTTTATTTCAACCAAATGGATAGAGAAAATCTTCGCTCCTCCTAGGAACCCCTAGGACAGAAGTCGGGGTCGTCTGGATTTTGACATAAGCAAAAGAAACACAAAGCTTCTCTCACCTGAGAGGAATGAAGATGATACCGTTGATAATATTGAGCTGCTCCAGGACACTGGCCATGCTGGGAGCTGTGAACTGCAGGGAAAGATATCTCTCATTAAATTCAGTGACAAAGCCAACACACCACCGCCAAGCTCTATGGGACAGAAAAGGATCAGAAAGCCCATTTGATTTTCAATAACATGCATTCTATTTTTCTATGTATTGCATTTAAATTGCTTTTTTTTTGTTAAGCTCTTAAAATCACCCCTCCACCCCAATAGAGCTATAAAGCTCAGCGCTAGAATGTCAAATTTCTGCTCACAGATGTATTTATGCAAGTTGCTCCTGTGGAAGTCTTTGTGATGGGTGTGGACATTTGGCACCAATTCAAATTCAATCTGAATTGAATTTGTGTGGAAACTTTATTGGCATGACCAATGAATTACAGTGTTGCCAAAGCAGAAACAATTAACAGAACATTTGCAGCAAGAAAAACTCATTACTCATTTACGGACATCACATACAACATTGAGAGACTGGCTCACTGTCTGTTCCTCCGGCTTGGACAGGAGATCACACACTGTATTATTATTGAGAGACCTGCTCATTGTCTGTTCCTCAGACTGTGACAGGAGATCACACACTCTATTATTATTGAGAGACCTGCTCATTGTCTGTTTCTCAGACTGTGACAGGAGATCACACACTGTATTATTATTATTATTATTATTGAGAAACAGGCTCACTGTCTGTTCCTCAGACTGTGACAGGAGATTACATACTGTATTATTGAGAAACAGGCTCACTGTCTGTTCCTCAGGCTGGGACAGGAGACCACGTACTGAGCTGCAGCTCCATTGAGCTTCCTTCCCCCTCCCCCAGCAGGATTGGAAGGATTGGCTGTTCAAATCCTGGGAGTTGTGGGAATTCTGGGATTAGCTGCGTTACGTATTTGTGGAAATAAAGTTAGGCACAAATCTGGGGAACCTATTGTGCCATCTACACTTCCGAATGAAAAGTTTTTAAAAGGAAGATTCTGAGAGGGAGAGCTCAGAATCCATTTTCCGAATCCAACACATCCATTTTTATCCCACCTGAAAGGGCACCATGTGCCCTTTGATCCAGAACGTGGCTGAGGGACTGACAAAATGTCACCCTATTCTTTTCAAAACGCCGCGAGAACGAGAGAAGGGGCTTGTTCGGAAAGGAAGGCGAGCTGGAGACTAACTTTGAGGGGCATGATGCTGGCGTTGGAGCCGTTCTTGTAGATCTCGTTCATGGTTCTCTGCAGGGCCACAGCTTGCTGCGTGAGGTACTTCAAGTACTCCGAGCTCTCCCGGGTCTTCTCATGTGCCTCCCCCACCTGCGCACAGGAACACGCCGGTCAGAGGTTACAACCCAAAACCCCCACAGGATTCCCCCTGTGCTCCGCAAGTCCTTCTTGGGAAACCTGCACAGAATATCAGCAGTCCCAGGACTGGATCAACAGCAGGGGATTGGGCTGAAATGACAGCTCTTGGGTTTATAAAGACCTGCACTTTAGGATCTAAGGGCACAGCTGTTGCTACTGTGTCCGAAAACAAATTTCCAGCCTGATCCCCAATTAACAAAAACAAGTACTAAGCAGGATGAAAAAAGGTTAGGGCCCAAATCTGGGGGAGTCGTGGAGCCAGCGACACTTCAATGAAAATTTTCAGGAAGATTCTGAGAGCTGTAAACGTGAACAAAGCAGGCTCGACCATCACATCCATTTTTATCCCTCTTAAAGTGGCACCAGGTGGCGTTATATCTTCGGGGATGCTTTCCGAGCTGGCGGTGAAGGGGCCGGCTCACCTGGTTCTTGTAAATGGTGTACCCCTCCTTCTCGTGCTGCAGCGCTGAGCGGAACTCGGCTTTGCTCTCGTACACCCTGGCGACCAGGTGATGGCTGCAGGGGCAGGCAGGGAGCAGAGGCTTAGTGACGAAGAGAGTCTCTTTTGGAATTGCACTCAGCGCTTTCTACCTTTCCAACAAGATTTAAACCTGCGATGCCAAAATTTGATCACGTACATGAAACTCAAAATAACTCTTTTCAACGGGATGAAGGCGCTGAACAGTAGATGTCACCATGCACACGTTTTAACTGGAAGCAAGTTCCAGATCTCTTCACTCCTCAAAGATAGAAGTGGTAGTCAACTTACAGCCTTTACCACTTGCTTCATTGCGGTAGCTGTGATTCTTTAAATCTATCATTATTTTGAAGGGAACAGGGCACTGTACCTATCAATTCTGAGTTGGACAGTTAAAAGAGCTGGTTGACAAAATCTGCATTAAAGTGAATCAGAAGAGCCACATGCTGGCTCGCCCAGTTCTAGAACAACAGGCCTGCAAGCATACATCTAGTATATAAGATGCATATTATGTACTTATGACATTTATGCATTGCTATACATCAGTTATAAACCAAACATCCAGGGTAAAGCTGCTAAGCATTAAAACATAGCTTTAAATTACATTATTTACCATCACACAGAAGTGCATTAAAGACAATACAGAGCACTCCATTACGCTGTAAAGGAAACTTGTTTCACCCTATATAGAAGCTATCAATATCGAACACTGCAGCTGGATTTTAATGAGAGAGCCCTTTTCTATGGTTTTATAGTCCCATTAATACCTGAGGGCCACCTTTAAGGAGCGAGTGCCGTGATATTTGGAATTGATGGCTAAGGCATTCTCCAGGAAGCGCAAGGACAGGTCATACTCCATCACTCCATGTAGCACCAGACCAATGTTACTCTGTAAAAAGCAGTGGGGAGAGAGGCAGAGGGTCTTTGATGGTGTACACAAGCAGGCCAGCGCAGATTACCGTTTGTTGTGAATTACTTGCTTGCATCTTTCCTTTCTCACAGTTACGCAAGGTAAAAGAACAAATACAGAGGTCTGATATCATCATCTAGAATTAAAGGAGTCTCTGATCTCTCCAGAAATGAGATCTGAGCAGCAAGATTACAGCACTGTCTAAACTGTTTTTGTAAAAAGCCAATTGGAATACTGCCACTAAAATACGTAAGAAAGCTACAAGCCTAATGTCATGAAATCTTCCTCTAAAGGGTTTATACAGGTGTTTCACCAAGGCTACTTACGAAAGCGGCAAAAATAAAAGTTACAGCCAGCGGCTCCAACATCAGAAAACCACAAAAGCATGTTTCTCAAACAATCAAGACTACTCAGTTTAAACTATTCTTTGCACTCACTGTCACGGCATCCCCCTTCTCCCACCAAAAAAAGGGGTGCACTCTCTCGTCCGCTTAACGAGGACGAAAAGCTCATATGTGCCCGTCCATGGGAATACGTACATCTAATAGGGCCATCTCTGGGTGATCCTCCCCACACACCAGCAGCATGAGGTAGCGGGCACGGTAGAGCAGCTTCAGGGCAGTGGACAGCTGACCGTTGGCAAAGCAGTAGAGAGACAGGTGCATCTGTCAAGTCAGAAAAGGGCAAGTGAAGGGAGATGTTGCACCCGTAAATATTTTAATAACAAGCCCATGTTATACCTCATGACCTCGAGAATAGCTTGAATTATTTTATCTAACGGGTTATTTTTAAGAAGGCACTTGAAGAGCACAAAAACAAAAAGTCCCCCCCCCCCAAGTTCCTGAAGAGTACCAAAAAGAATTAAACTTGTTTTTAAACTACTTCACTTCTTGTCCCAGCTGTGAGGGTGACACAAGCCACGCAACACACACAACGCACCGTGTCTCGCAATTCAAAGAAAAGCAAATGGCACTTTTTTCACTGGGCGGCACACCTGCAATGAGAATAGATCACCACAGAAGAAGAGTGCAGACTCACGTATTCCTGTATAGTGTTCGGATGCTCGATACCAAGTACTCTCTCGCTCATCAGCACGGCCTTCTGCTGGTTACTGAGGGCCTGGCACAAGGGAAACACGCACACGACTGATGACCTCTTTGTGGGAATCGTTCTCAATCGTTCCCACTGCAGCATGCAGGAAAACCCACTAACACATGTTTTACATTACCAAGAACATTTGGTCTGTCCCGAAAGATGATTACGTTCTTTTTACCGTTTGATTCTGAACTTTTTCTTTCCCCCCTTCTGCCAGAGTAAGCAAATCGCAGAATTCAGGACAAATCAAAGCAACTACAGATGCCAGTATGCTGTGGTTAACCCTTGTAACATCTGGTGCACAAATATTGCTGCTGCAGCATAAGAAGAAATCCCAGCTGCCTCACTTGAGAGAAGAGAACGGACTTAAGAGTACATCAAAGGAAAACCCTGTAACTATATCAGACCAGTTTCTTAGTTTATAGGGTACATATATGACTGATGTCCCATTTTGCTAGTGACTGACCCTTAGTTTTACGATATGGGAATTTTCATGCCTGGTATTTTTTACTGCAAAGGACTTTGAAACTTTTAATGTGTTCAGCAAATGAGCAGAGCTGAGATATAACAGCTGTGTGAGACGGCTGTACCTCGGGGTAGTCTCCCATGATGTAGTTGAGGCGAGCGAGCAGACGCAGACAGGCGCAGATCTCCACATGCATGGCGCCGTACACATTGTTGAAGAGGTTCAGAGCTTCATTGATCAGCTCACAGCCCTCCTTCAGGAAGCCTGTAACCAAAACAGTACAAGACACTGCTGTCTTCTGGACTGGGTGTTGCATAGCATTTTATCCCAAAGGTTTCTTTAAAGAAATCTTATCAGTGAATTGTAGGTGCTTTGATCTAAGTGTCTTTATTTCATAAACACCAGCAGCTAAAACAATGCAATGAGTACATTTAACAAACCTAGGGTAACAATAACCTAAGATACAACAGCACCATGGAACATAATGATCAACACAACAAAGCCAAGCAAAAAGATTAAAAAGAAAGTAAGTCAATCATGGCTTTAAATGTACATAAATCAATTTCTAGGAGCTAAAAAACAAGATTGAGAAATGTGTATGTTAGCAACTATTCCTCATATATGCCAAATTCTTTAAATATAGGAGTGGACTCAGAACAGCCCCTACTAATGTGCAGCAACCACTTGGGTGACACATGGTGGTCATTGTTCCCCAGCAGCCTCACTGCGTAGCAGATCAGGCAGAGAAAAGAGAATGGAATGGAATTAGGGGGAGAACTTTAGGCAAATCAGGCTACTCAAGCCTAATCACCCTATTCTTACGAACAGTGCCATGCAATGTTTAATGACCAAGTAATCAGGACCTCTGTTTGATCATCTCCTATGGCACAGCATTTCCTGTTGCCATGCTGTGACACTGGACATTCAGGTCAAGAATGAAGAGTGCTGCCTACTGGTCCACGTACACCACTCATAGGAGCAATCTGATTTTCCTTAAGTGGTCTCCCATCACAGTACTGATCAGACTCAGCCTTGCTTAGTTACCGAGATATGATCGGTATACAAAGTGGTAAATTGTGCGGTCTTAAGTTTATATTGGTTTTCCTCAGTATTCCTTATCAGGGTATGCCTATTGTGATTTTAATTTCCTAGAGTTTCTCTCAACACAATCAGATCAACGTGCCAGATTGCAGAAAGGTACTTTACCTTGCTGGACCTTGGCCTGGCCGCTCTGGAAGAAGTGGAAGGCATCAGAGGCTTTTGGGTTGACATGTTTGACCACAGGGAAGATATTGAGGATGTCCTCCTCTGTGAAGGCAGGCTTGTGACGGCTGTCGAAGTTGTATTCTTTTATGAGGATCTGTGAAGAAGTGACAAAGGTGTGATCTTAAAATATAGCAACACAACACAGTAATTGCATTAAGGTTTTTTCTGAAGACTTAAAACTCTGATTAGATGAAAATCCTGATTAATGATGTTGGTTAAAAAAAAGCAATTGAAGAAGTGGCTGACAGCTCCACACCCTGGAACCCTGATTAACATGACAATTGATGTTTCCTCTCTACTGTTTCGTTTGCAGGATTTTTTTCCAGGTAGTCAATGCAATCGGAATCATATTGCAATCTGGAGTCAATGCAGTCTTGGTCATCCTAGAAGCTTTGCTTCCCCAATGTATCAGCACTCACCTGGAAGCCAGTTTTGACAGAGATTTCTCTCAACAGTGTTATCTTCTGCAGCCCATACTTGTCCACAGCCTGATCCACATTCTCACTGCCAGAGTAAGAAACCAAGAACAGAATGAGCTGCTTATAGCTGAAAAACGAATGGCCTCTTAAGGCCGCATGGAATAGTATCAGTGTGCATGTGTGCTTCATCCAGACACTGCAAAAAGGTGATGAGCACGGCCTTAGTATTGCATAGTGCACTGAAGTCAGACGCTGTCTGGGTGCTAGGCTCTCTCACCACTCCAGAGTGAAGTGGTAGTAGCTCTGTGCCTCAGAGGCGATGTTCTTCCACAGCTCGCTGGGGGTCAGGCTGGCCCAGGCGGTGTTGTCTCCACTGCCACCTCCCGGCACCCTGTTGCGCCGGCGCCGGTTCTTCCTCTTAGACACCAGCTCATCGGCGGGCAGATGGGCCACGGCATCCGGGAAGGAGCTCAGGCAGCAGTTGAGGAAGTGGCTGACGGCGGCAGAGAGGGCAGACAGCTCCACGCCCTGGAAGCAGAACAGCTCCCGTCACTTAACTGTCGACCTGTATCTCCTCCACTTCATCTCACTATTGTGCAAATGATTCTCCTCCAACAGGTTTGTTTTTCTATCCCCTCCCTAAACACAGCATCCTAATCATTCTTGAAACTTCTCCAGCCTTTTACCCCGGAGGCCCGACATTTAAAAAAACTGAACAAATAAAGCAGAAAATTTACATGGTCTTGCCAATGTATACACATGCAAAACAATTGTTGGTTCCTGGCAAGATGCAAAGATATTTTTTCATGTCAATATTCCGTTCTGGGAATTTTGGGTTTTAAGTTAATCAAATATTGTTGTTGAATACTCAAAAGATGAAACATTTCAAGACCTTACCTGGAGATAGGTCTTAAAGACATGTTTTGCACACCTGGTAATCAACTCGCCAATTCCAATTTTCTAAGAAACAAAAGAAAAAAAAATCACAAGTTATTAATTCTTCCAGTTTTCAAGTCACCCGACAGTTTTTAAAAAATCAGCCAATGAAACTGTGCTTAAACACTGGAAATCAGGATTTCCATTAAAGTTGCATCCACTCTTGAATGGGGAACTGCTGTTGAGATTCCACTGCGAAATGTCTACTAGTACTCCAGGTGAGGGAACTCTTAAAATGCTAAAGATTTTCAGCTCAAGTCCTTCATGATTTTTTTACACTTACATGTGAAGCAGCTATGCAGCTTCAGAGTTAAAATTCTTTGTGATTAACATGACAATTGATGTAAATAAAGTCAGCTATTACAAACTATGCAAAACAGGTCATTTGCTGTGACCTACTGTTTTCGTAAAACAAGTATCCTAATGCAAAAAAACATCTGGGACTTCTTTTATGGATTCCTGCATGTTCTCTTTTAGAAATAGGAAGTCAGCTCCCAGTTTGGCAGATAGATCTAGATGTAGCAGATAGGTATAAATACTTCTGCAGACCATGTGGTGCAGACCCAAAGCAAATTATTCTTATGAACCGTTCCTGCATTATTGTACTATAAGCTATTACAGTGCCATAACTAATTGCTTTAGCAGAGCAATTCGTTTTGAAGGCACAGTGGCACTCACATAAATGTGGTCGAGCTGTGCTCTAGCAGGGGTCTTGTCGATGAAATCAAGCACGTTGCCCAGGTAGCGCACATTGATGCCATGCTGATGGAGGGCTTCAGTCAGCGTGGCACCATCCATTGGCAAGGCACTGTGGTCCAGAAAATCCTTCACCTGCACATACAGGAGAGGAATGGCAGGGGAGTCAAACTGGCAGAGCAACACCAAAGCTGTTAATTACAGGGCGCACGTGTATTTTTTAAATGAAATGTTTGCGCTTAAATTCTGAACAATTTTCATTCTGCTATATTATCATAGAAGACTTCATTTAATAAAAAAAACATATCTCCTTGATCGTAAAAACATTTACAGAGCATACCTCTCACTATTTACTGGCATCTTCAGCATTTAAGATCTCACTAGTGAAAAATGCAACTTCTGCATTTTAAGCGAACCATAATTCCTAAAATGGTTTAAATGCACTCAGTCAGATAGCTAATCACATCAGCAAAAATATACAGATTTATTGAAGATGCTTCTGGACCAATAAGATGCTAAAGAGAGGACAAGGCTGATGGCTGGATAGTCCTCCCTTCTTTAGGAACCACTCGGAGGGAACGCACCAGCGAGGGGATCTGACAGGAAACAAGGAAGGCGGCAGCATCCTTCAGGAGCTGCTTCTGCTTCTGGACGTCCTCAAGGCTGTCCTCAGGAAACCGCACTCCTGCCACAGACCGAGACAAACTGGTTGAACAGTGCATCTTCATGGGAAAACCAGCCACTCTGTAGAGTCAGGTGACTGGAACACCAGCAAGGCCAATGGGAAATTTGACCAGGACGCGGGGTAACACTCCTACTCTTTTCGAGAAACACCTTGGAAGTTTTAATGACCACAGAGAGTTAGGACCTCAGTTTAATGTCTCATCTGAAGGACGGCACCTTTTTTATACAGTATAGTGTCCCCAGCACTATATCGGGGCAGTAGGATCCACACAGACCGCAGGGTGGGCGTCCCCTACTGGCCCCACTAACACCTCTTCCAGCAGCAACCTTAGCTTTCCCAGGAGGTCTCCCAGCCAGGTACTGACCAGGCTCACACCTGCTGAGCTTCAGTGGGTTTCCAGTGTTGAGATGCAGGGTGATATAACTGCTGGCTGTATCAAAATGACTTAAAGAGAACCTAAAGGATCGAATCTGAGAAATGTTGCAAAACCAGAGACATCTTGAAACACTCCCGTTTTATAGCACAAGAAATACCAAAACTGTTCAAGCGGAGCCCAAGTTCCCATTACTTTACCAAGCAGAAACATCTCAAAAGGAACTACAGGAATGATGAATGCCAAAGAAGAAAAGCCCCACAGCTACCTGGAGAGAAGATGTCGGGGTTGAAGCGGATGTCGAAGGAGGTGTTGCTGATAGAGCCCACGGCTTTGCAGGCATTGAGGACCACATCCCGACTCTTGGCATCAGCTGGAGCAACGAGCAACCGGAGCAGAGATTAAGGAACCAAGGAAAAGACTGATTAAATCATGACACCAACGGATGCCTGGAATTAAAAACAATTCTGATAGTTCTGCACAAGGAATCACAATCATCCCACCAACTTCTATGTTCTTGTAAGCAGTGAAACAGAGCCCTTCTGCCACCAGATTGTCTTTTCATAGGATCGCAACATTAAAGCATTAAAGCCTTTGAACTGAATTAAGAAATAAACATGACTCTTATCAAGGATTAAGGCACTCCACCACACCGGCCCACATCCTTAGTGAAACGTGAATCAACCCAGAGGAACTGAAAGAATCCACATGGATGTATAACATCCTGAGTAGTTTCACAATCTAAAGAAAGTATATATAGGCATCGTTCTACAGAACACCTTCCCTGGCACAAAAACGGCAATTTACTTAACTCTCCAAATCCCACAGAAATGTTAATTGTCATTAAGACTTTATTTAACAATCCAACATGCTTTAATGGTTAATCACTCGGGGGATTAATGGAAAAAAAGCAAAGCCTGTGTCCAGACTCAAACCAGAGGAGATTAGAAGAGAGAGATAAATGATTGTCACTGTGGCATGAATCACCAAGGAGCCACAATCCATGCTGATTAACGTGGACCCACACTAACGAGAGGAGACGGCGGACTGGAGAGAGAGAGAGATGAGACTCCATGGTGGAGAGGCGCAGAAATCTTTTTGGTGACTTTGCCCTGACGAAGTGCCAAGGCTCACTCTACACTCAAAAGAAAGGTAGTGAAGTCTTTAGCAGGGGGGGGGGGGGACTTGCATTTTTGTCCTTCCAATTGAAAAAACAAAAAGAACCAGCTCAGGGGCACGTGATATTCAAGCAGGACTGTCACACTGAGGGGCAAAACGAACACTGAAGAAAACAGCAATGACAGAACGCAGATAACATTCAAAGGGTGAAGTAAAATGCTTCCTACAGTATGTTAAGTGGTCCTGTGACCAGCAGTCTCAGCTCCTATTCTTTACCATTGTGGATGAACATAGAAGTGTTGTTGCACATGTCCACCAGGAGTGACTCATCTCCCCAGCACTCCCTCTCTCTCTCCTCCGGTCACGAGGACAGCCCAATACCTGTTCCATCGTCTGCTGCTACGGCCTCAGCAAGCTCTTTTGCCTGGGCTAGTCCCGGGATATTTTCCTCTGCGCCCTTACCCTCCGAGGACCGGGGGGTCTCGCACTCCCCGTTCTCAGGCTGACCGAGGGCCTGGGGCAAGGGCCCGTTGGCCGCCGTTGCCGTAGGAACGGCCGCCTCGTCCCCGTCCTGGGACGGGGGGTCCTGGGAAGGCGAGGACTCAAGGTCGCCGTTCGCCACCAGGGCCGGCGGCACGCTGCCGCCACAGTCCCTGCTGGCTTTCTGCTGCATGAGCTGAAGAGCAGCCATCTTCATGAAGAGGAGGTACCTGAGGCACCAAAGGAACATCTCAGCGCGAGGCCACACACAGCTCGCTCGCTCCCCCCAACCCGCCCAGCAGGAATCTCTGCACACCCAATATAAGTTCAGCATTGCAAGAAAGACTTCTTCAATACTGCCATCTGCATTCAAAATCAACGGGAAGGTCTACAAAACACAAAACCTGGGCTACCACATAACAAGAACTAAGTGAAGAATTATCAGTAAGTAGAAGCAGCATGCAAAATAATAAACTCAGCATTTGTTCTTACTAACATACGTTGAAGCACGTTTGCGCATTACTAGCCTTGCCAGGCCCCAGGAGGTGGTCGCGCCACGCCCAGGCCCCTGGCACCCTCACCTGTGCTCCACGAAGGCCTCGATGAGCTCCTGCCGCAGGCACGCCAGGCGGTGGCGGTGCTGGCGCGGGAAGCCCAGCCGCCTGCACTCCGGCGGCAGCTCCTCGCCCTCCACGGGCAGGAAGTTGAGGTCGGGGGGGAAGGTGCGCAGGAGGTCCAGGATGTAGTGGCGCCCGTCGTTGCCGATGATGCCCTTGCACTCCACGGAGGAGCACAGCTCCGCGGCCTCGGCCTTCTCGTTGAGCACCGCGTGGCGCTGGATCTTCAGCGGCCGGCTGGTCTTCTCCAGGAGCTCCAGGTACTTGGGGTGGGACACCACGGTCTTGCCGAAGTCGATGGAGCCGTAGATGACGCTCTGCTCCTGCTCGCGCTCCAGGATGCCGGGGATGATGGACTGGGCAGTGACGCGGTAGCCGCGGTAGTCCACCACCACGGTGCCCAGCGTGTACAGCCCCTCCACGTCCACCGCCCCGTAGGCCCGCACCCCGTTCAGGTCGTTGGTGGGGGCGGCGTGGGCGGCGCTGTCCCCGCCCAGCTCGCGGTAGTGGTCGCGCACGTCGAAGCCCAGGCTGAAGAAGATGTTGTTCCAGATGAACATCTGCATGCGCGTCTCCTCGCCGGGGTTGATGGCCATCACGTTGCCGTCGATGACCGCCATGGCCCCCCGCGTGGCGGCCGCCGCGAAGTCGCTGTGCACCTGCCCCGGGGGACACAACGGTGATGTCCACACTAGCCAGAAAGCTGCGGCGACTCTGGCGAGAACTGCGTGCCAGTCCTTTTAAATACCCCCGCACACAAGGCTGGCATTGGAACGATATAAACCCGTAGCGCTCCGCTTAATTTAGAATAACACTCCATGCAAAGTTAACAACTCGGTGCAGACTTCTGCAGCTCTCGGTTTTGTTTTGCAGCTCTCCTGCATTCCAAAGATAAAAAAGCCCTTCAATTTAAGCCTCAATTTTGAAGTTTATTTCTGCACAGGGTTTCAAAACAAGTTTGAAAGCTTCCCCCGTTTTAAAGAGACGTTGTAAAGCTCACCTTGAAGATGGCTCTCTCCCTCAGCAGCCTCTCGGGCAGGTTCTTGCGTGGCAGCTCTCTGGTCGTCTGGAGCTCTTCATTCCAGTCCCGTGTCTAAATAAAACCACACCGGTCACTCAAGCCAACGCTATGCAGGGACTTTGTTCACCGAAGATGAGAAGAGCCAAATCCTTAAGCAGCTTAACTATGCCTGCAAACCAATTTTCTTTCTCTTATTTCACTTCCTAACACCCACGCCACCCATCCCATCCCGGGGTGTGGGTCTCACCCGCTATCAAAGCTCGCGAGCTTGTTTCTCGTTACACGGACATACCTGGCCAGGTATGTGTTCCTCGTAGCCCAGCCGGGAAGTGTAAGCGTCTTCGGCTCGCACGCAGTCCATAGCATGGTCCACCTGTGGGGATGTCCAGCTGTACACCTGGAAGGGGGTGGCTATCCTCTCAAACGGGTGTCTCTGAACCCTGGGATCACAGACAGCAAACTCCCAGGTTACTCTCCAGAGTAACATACCAGCAGAATTAGTCAATTAGTATTAGAGGACAAAGCATTAACACATAAAATTAGCCATTTTCCTTGTAGTGACCACTGAACATAGTTAACTGATTAATGAATGTTAAAATCACACTGATACATAGCTGGGAGGCAACCACTGCTTGATAAACTATCCCAACATAGTGTACACAGATAAGGCACACGATCTTCCGATACTGCACTTGCCTTTTCTTCTGCAGGGCTGTGAAGTTCTTCTTGAATGCTGGGCTGATCTGGCTCAGCAGCTCCACCAGGGAGTGGCTCAAGAAACTGGGGTTGGCTGGCTTGGGGTTGAAGATGTAAGTAGTGGATCTGCGACGGAGGGAAAGCACACCCACATTACAGCAACAAGCAGCCAATGCCTTCTAAAGATCATTTCCACACAAAGCAATTACCAGAGATAGATGAGCTAGGTAATATACTAGGTAATATTTTAAATGAAGACATATAAATAAGGGCTCCAGGGGGTGCAAAAATGTTATTTTTAGATTTCTGGGTTAGAAATGCAATGAAACTAAAATGTACACACTAACATGTGAAACCTCCAATTCACACCACAATATAGACACCATTTCCAGGTATGTGCAGCGCCATACTGCCATCATTGTCCGTGATTCAGAACAAGGGAACAAAACATCTGGAGAGGGGGCCAGCAGTTACCCAGCAGGCTTGTGAAACCATCTCTTTCAATCCAACAGAATCATTGCTCTTGACTTCACGATGGTTTTGCCGACAAATCCAAATAAGTTAACTACTGTTACTTAGCCTCACCTATTGATCTTTTATTAGCATTCAATAGAATCTCAGCTGATAATGAATTCAAAGAAATACATATATATATATATTAAACCACTATGCATACAATTCAATCTAAATGGTGGCCATCTTCTGTTCTGTGTTCCTGCATTCTGCTGGGTTGTGCTCCTTCCCTGGGGAACAAGTGTGGGCGCTCACTCACTGGTTGAGGTAGAATCCGCGGGTGGAGGCGGTGATGCTGACGTGCCTCTCCTCCACCGTCACCACGTACAAGTACATGAGATCCCCGTGCATCTTCCTGTTCCCGGGAGGCGGGTTCCAGCCGCTCATCGTCAGGACCTTCAGGCACTGCAAGGGCTGCCCGGGGACGGAGAGGACGAGAGGGCTTCATCACGCAAGCCTAGCACGCCTTCAGCACCTACTAGGTCAGCAAGCTAAGAGTGCGGTGTTGTGCCGCGCATCGCTGAAGAGGTCCGCTATTACTGCTTTAACTCACACATGGACAGCAAGAGCATCACACAAGCAAAGGTCAGTATCGAGCTCTACCAAGTGCAAGACCCCACATTAACATCTGTGATCTTTCCAGGCGACAGCTAGCGATTAGAAAACAAGGTCAGAAAGAGGGCAAGGTTCAAAGGTGAGAAGGGGACTCCAGAATAAGACTCTTCCCCCACTCAGAGGCTGCTTTGCTCCGCGGGGCCCCGGCGCTCACCTTCCAGTCCTTGCTCTGTGGCTGCAGGGGGGACAGCGGGCGGTCCTTGCTGCCGGGGAGGATGTGTTCCGGTGGGGTGCAGTCGATCTGCTCCAGCTCACTGCCCTTCTTCTTCCGCTTCCCGCTCTCTGGGCAAGAGAACACACAGGCGATCGATGTCGCGCGAGGGGTGTCCCGTTACCCTTTTCGGAATGGTGCCCCTCAAACTCCTCGCGCACTGTAAGGCCACCCTTGCGCTACGTCACAAAAGGGCGGACTTGGAGGAGGGGCTTAGTGCAAGAGGAACTGGGACACGGCCCAACTCATCCAGACACGGACCCTTTCCAAAGGATTTTCCGCTTAACGCATGTACCGTCTGAACGCAGGGCCTGCACCGCTCATGGGGTTGGTGAACCCCAGAGACCGGCCTCCTGCTGCCAAAGACAGGGGCAGAAAGCAGATACTACGGTTCCCGGTGCTGAACTCCAGGCCTCACCTCCCAGGTCGCCCTCGGTGAAAGCGCTCAGGAAGGAGAGCGAGTTACAGTCCACTCCGTTGTACGCGTCCGAGGGGTCCAGGCTCTTCAGGAGGTCCCGGATGTGACGCACGTGAATGCGAGCCTCCCGGACGGTGTAGGGCTCTGAGGGAGGGAGAGAGAGAGAGAGAGAGAGAAGACAACGTGGCAATGTTAAACGCCATCAGCTGCCCACCTGACAAGAGCAACGTCGGAGAATTAGGCTTCTGCTTACCTTCCACCACCTTGAGCACAGAGCCCTCCTGCAGGCCCTCGATGGACTTGAGCTCGGCGAAGTTGTCCAGCACATTGCCGTCCAGCTGCAAGGAGAAGCAGGTCCGGTGGCAGGTGTCCTCGCGGTCCATCAGCACCTGGTGGATCTCCTGTACCATCTCCTGGGGCGACACCTGAGGGGGGAGGAGGAGAAAAAGTGAGACAGAAGCCTAAGTCAACACCCGTTCAGGGACAAGACTCCTATTGATACTACTGGTCACCTGAGCTCAAAGACTTTGCGAAAATAAGAAAACTACTTCTTTAGAACAACTATGGATCTTCTGCTTTAACAAACTAAACACAATCAATTTCACCCTCTTACTTCCTGCTCCCCTTAATTGTTCTAAAGTAAGGTGCATCCCTAAACCAACAGTCCAGCAGGTTTTGCGGAGGTCTTTAAATCATCTTCGCTTTTATGCACAAGAGTTCAATGGGTCCACTTGAGCCATAACCAAGTTAAATTTAACCGTCATCCTGATGTCTCCATCTGCTAATGATTTAAGGAGAATTACAACATGCTACAGCATTAACCTGCACAAGTGGACTTGGGCTCCCACTGGCACTGTTACTGGCACCATGAGAAGCTGAGACACTGCAGGGGGCCAGCTGTGTAATGGGTGTGGGTGAAGCGTCGATACCTGCAGGTCAAAGGGCTCTGTGCCAGGGGCCTGAACCTTCACTGTGAAGCCCGTGTCCTGGATGACAATCACTTCCTGTTCGTTGGCGTCCTCTGCTTGATCCAGGTCTCCGCCTCCATTCTGCTTACACTCTTCTGTCTGCTCATGAGCCCCATCCCCATTCATCACGGAGGTGTCCACCGCGTGCCCTGCTGAGAGAAAGACGGCCTGAGACAGAGGCGAGCTGCAGGGTGTCTGGCTGGAGCCGGGGACCAGCCAGCCCTATAATCATAGCCCAGCCTGGCCCTGGAAGCTCTAGGTATGCACAGTGCCCAGGAATAAACTCACACAGAACCACGTGGGGAGGAAACACTCCAACATGAGCCACTCCACTAGGTTCTTTTGCCATGACCTTGCTTTGGCAGATACTTAATAAGACAGAACTTAATTTAAAGAGGCAGTAAATACTTCACCTTTGAACAAAACATGGGAGGGGGGATTTAACACGCCTTCAATATCATTTTACTTATCATTTTCAAGTCACTTAAAACATTCTTACCTTTTTCTCAGCCTCGTTTTCCAGCTCTACGAGCAGGATTTATCAGAAGGGAAATCACTCGGATTGAATTGGTCAAATGACAAAAGAAAACCAAAGACTGGCTTTAAATGTGGATAAGGGTATCTGCCAAGCAAAGACGTAACAAAAGTCCTTATTCAGCAGGAACCCAGGGTTACAGAAAGAATTTCAGTGCTCAATGTCACAAATCCTTAATTTCAATGTATCTTTACGTTCCTGCAAGAAAACGGTTATAGTTGTCTATTCACTGCAACGACTCGGACCAAGCTGGTTATACTGCAACTATGGCAAACCAGAGGGATGCTGGCCCCGTGCCCACGCCAGGGCCGTTCTCCCCACCTGCACAGCAGAAGCCTGGCGAGACCGGTCTGTCCGCAGGGCTCCCAGCCAGCCCCTCCCCTTCTCCCAGCCCTTTGCACAAAGTCCTCTTTTCACCAACGGGAGCTCCCATCCGGAGAGAAAGAGAAGGCTCGCACCGAGTCCGGGCTATCACATCCAGTGAAGCGGGGCAGGGAGCTGGAAGCCTGGCGCTTGGGGAGACTGGCGATCCGCGAGCTCCCTGCACAGACGTGCCCTGCCCACCACACCCGCCCAGCCGTGGTCTCCTTCGCCTGCCTGGCACAGGAGCTCTGCGCAACTCATGGGGCTCTTGGCTGGGAGGAAGCCCCACATCTTGGCCCTGCACCTCTGCACATACGCAGTTCCTGCTATCCACCAGTGGCGAGTTCTCCTGAAGCACACTGGAGCGTGCTGCAGAGACTGCGGGTTTCTGCTGGACAGGGACGGGGTTCAGAAGTGCGCCGTCTTCACCGGTATCAGGACTCAAGACCTGGATAGACTCCAAAGGCTCTGCATGGACAGGCACGCTCACCGGAGAACGGCTCGGAACAATCTCAGGGTAGATCAGGTCATGCAAGTCCTGTGAGCTCCTCTCCAAGGCACTTGGGAAAACCTCAGGAATGGACGGGCTGGCTTTACGGACTTCAGGCAGCAAAGGGGACTGCTCGTCGCACCAGGCAGAAGCGTGCCTTCGCCACAAGCAGTCCGACAGAGAACGGCAGCAGTCCAATGTGGAAATGACTACATTTCCCATGATTCCATAAAGAGGCGGAGTCAGAACCACCTGACAAGGTTAACCCACCCCCTGCAATACACAAACCCTTCTTCCAGTTTTTCCTCAGTACTCATATGGTTAGGAATCCCATCTGCAATGGCTGACCTTTTCTCTCTGTTCAGGAGGAATGATGATGACTATGTTACCATTGAGATACTTGGTCTACTGTTGGATGACTAAAATTCCACAAAAACACATGCAAGTCTAAATAAAAGTCCTGAAACCTTGAATGGATTAATCGAGAAAGCAATTAAAAAAAACTCAGAAAACTCAGTCAAAAGATCCACATCAAAGCCTGCTCCCAGGCCCAATCCGGTATTGCATATCTGAGCTGACTCGGATTTCAGGGTTACACAGGGCACGTCTGCATGGAGAGACTGTTTACTCTCAGACAACTGCTGCCTGTCCTTGCTTACTGTCAAGGGCACCAGGGTGTCAGGGTTTGTGAGATCTCAAAGAAACAAACAAGGCAGCTGTTCTTACAAAGGAGGCTCCTTTGTGAGAACTGCAGCTTCTCCGGGTTGGAACCCATGTAGCCCAACTCACACATTCCCCTTCTGACCACTTCGATACAGCTTGCATATTCAGAAACACTTTAATAAGCGTAACAGATCAATAGCGGTATGCAATCAAACAGCACTTCAAGCACGTCTGAAGGCAAACAATCCCGACATCATCAAACCATTTCATTTAGATACAGCCGATTCCCACTGTGAATGCAGAGTGAAAAAAACAGAGAACACAACGTCAATACATTAACTTCCAAACTCAAGCAGCTCCTCGCTGGAAAGGACTCGCAATCCTTGTCAATGATTTGGGTCTTCTCATTTTAGAGTTTGCTAACCTTGTACTTCCTCTGCAAAAGGAAAGGCACAGTGAAAGGATTTCACGAAGGGACACCACACACGCACACACGAGGTGGCCCGTTTTAAACATCATCCAGTCATTCTCTGCTCTGTCACACCAGGTCTGCCCAGTCTGTTAGAAAACTTGGTAAGTTTTAAAAGTCTGCTATAAAAGAGCAGAAGGTCAGACGGTCTTCACCATTATATCCACTGTATCCAATAAAACTTGCAGGCTGAGTCTGTGCCTGGACTCCCCAGAACTGGAAAACTGGCAAATCAAGTGAATCAACACAAGACTGTACGGGCACGCTGTGGAGAAGCCTTTAATTACTCTTTTCAGGAACAGAAACAGGAGAGTGGAGGATTTCAGAGTAACTGCTGGAACCTCTCTTTAAAAGGAAATTCAACTGCAGAGGCAGTTTTACTCTCCAAGGCAAAACAAAAGCGATCAAGCTCCCAAAAAAGAAAAAACCAAAACCAAGTTTTTTTTCCTCTCTCAAATCTGTTAAGCTTTTCTTAAAACAGATTTGCGTTTGAAAAAGGAATGACGGGGGCTCCCAACCCGATTGACAGGAAAAAAGAAGAAGGGGAGAAAGTAGTCCAAGTGCAGAAACAGGCTCTGCCCCTTGCCTTCGGAGCCTCGGTCACCCCTACACGGCCTTCTCCCCGAGGAGAGGACCGAGCGCAACTCCTCTCCACCCCTCTCTTCCTCCGCTTGACGCGCAGCGACAACCACAAAAACAGACGCCCGCAGAGCGGCGGAGAGAACGTCTCGTTCTTTGCCTCTTGTGAAGGAAAAACTTTAAAAAAAAATCTACAAAGGGAACGTCAATAACTGCCTAAAGTCCAGCCAAGCTGAGCAGCTGCCAGGGGAGTCCAGTTGTATAAATAGACGGGCAAATGGATTCCTGCTCCCCTCCTTCTGCTGCCAAGACAGGCACAGAGGCCCTCACAGGCATGCTGTTTTATTTATTTTTTTAAGAGGGCCCCCTATCTGGGCACTCACTAACCATGGTTCCTATCCCAGAATGCTGTGGGGGTTATTAGGATGCTGAGGATCAAGCTGGAATAAAACCCATGAGAACTAGAACTCGGGGAAAAGGAAAGGTCCAGGACCCAGCTACTCCAGTCACATTAGTTGCCTTTTAAACCTGCCTTACCGCCGTCGTTTTATGGGTTGGCACTAGCAAAGACTGTGGACAATGAAATGCAGGGCTTCACAATAGTTGAAGAGTTCGATGCTGGTGTTACTTTCGGCCACTGAATACAAGAATGGTGTTTTTTTAGCATTTTCCTCTCTCTCCCCTCCTTTTACCAGTAAAAGAGAACTGCATCCTGCAGCTCGAAGGCTGAATCATTATTCGGAGTAAACAGTGAAATGGCTGGTTAATAGGCAGTGACTGTCGCGGTTGTCTCTGGTAAATCATTCTCTCTCAACGGAGAAAGGCATCTGCCAATTACAGCATTGTGATTTGACGTTGCAGCTTGATGCTTCATGTAAGGTGGTGTGGTAAAGCCAGGAGAACATATTCAAGTGAAGGTTTTAATCAACTGACCAGACACAGAGCACAACAAGATAAACCTTATCTTACCGATGCACCCCTCTACAGTCGACTGTAGCTAGACCACCGCTGGATATATCCTCTGGGAATAGCTGGAGAGCCCCTAAATGGTGATTAAAGTTACCTAATTAACAGGATGAGCTGCTTATAATGAGGTTTAAGGCTTCAGCTTGTTTGATGTTTGTGTAAAATAAAAGAAAAGTTGAAACCCAGGGAGAACGAGTGGCCAGTTCAGGACCCCAGCCCTGACAAGGCAGTATGTGTTGCTGCGTCTTGCATTTCCCTGAAACACACAGTTGAATCTTTCCCAGGTCTGCCCCTAGCTGGGTGAAGTCCAGAGGCCTGGTCTGTGCCAGGACAGACACTTGCAGGCTATCGCTATGGTAGCGGAACAATGATACTGAATTCACACTAAAGAACATTCAGGAGACATTAGCACATCCACATGGCTGCCAGGGAAGGCCTGCTGATTTCAAAGCAAGGTCCACTGTTTCACAACACTCAAAAAAACAGCTCTTTAACACGCGACATGCTGTGGTCAGAAATGCGGGTAAGCGTTTACTATTCATAATGAAAATACATGAAGCTATAAGAATAGCAATTAGGTCCAGCATGATTGATAATCCACATATTTACTGCAGGCATACTACTTAGATACAGCCATACAGGTTGAATGAAAATCATCATCTATTAAAACGATGATGGCTTTGTATACACAGTAATAACACAATGGACTTCTACGTGCTAAATACAGTACTGTCCTCCCCCAGCAAAAAGTGTTGAGTAGCTGGTTAAAGTACATCCCTATAAGAAACAAATTGAAATTATCCCTTATTGACAAATAGGAAATTTCACTGTCCAATGTAGATTAGCATTATATTCACTTCAGAGTCCTTGGGCAGCAACACCTGAACTTTTGCATTGCAAAAAAACGGACTAACCCATATGGCTAAGAATCTTTACAACCAGAGTTCAGTACCCATGCCCCAGAGATTAGATTGAGAAATGGGATTAAGAGGGTCACAGCCCTTTAAACAGACCACTGCTATCAGCGATACAATCCTGCCTTCTAATCTGCTGTCTGGGGTTTAGACTAGAAACAGCAGATATCTTTCTTTAACAGACCAGTAAAAGGCAGTCAGGGTCTGGTTTACTGCATGGTCAGTGCACCTTTTAAAATATCAGGGGAGTTAACCAAGAGGGGTAACACTTTGTAATTTGATGCATGTTTTTAGAAACCATCAGAAATGAATCTGCATAATGCAACTACCATCAACTCCCACTTAGGACAGAAAGACATTCCAAACTTATACACAAAACAGCTTCATGATGACCACATCCTAGGTGTGTGGGTGAAACACTTAAAAATAAACACCTAAAATATTGAGATGTTACTGACATACAACATACTGAATATGGTGGTATTGAACCATACTGATCAAGAATTATTTGCGTTTGTAAAACTATGGTAACCAGCTGACAAAACCCAAGGCACGGCATTTTTAAACATTTAGGGGAAGGAAAGATGTCTGGGAAATATTTATTTTTTAATACAATTGCACACAGCATGTAAGGAGCCTGAATTTTTCTAAGGTATTGACTCAAGCAAGAATTAGTGTCTCCAAATGATAGGAAAAAATGCAGCAATCAAAGAAGTTTTTAAGTATATAGAAAAACAATATATATTCTAATTTTGCAATTTATACATCACAACCATATCATGATTCCAACTCTTTTTGAGTTAAGGAAAATGTAATATTGCTCAAACCTACCTTATCCCTAGTTTTAACTGGATAGAAGCTAATTTAAGAAGACTAAAGAAGAAAAATTGAAAATGTCACAATAAGAAAGAAATGACAATAAGGAAATAAGGAAAAGGAAATAATTATTGAGGCCCTCAAAATGGCTGCCTTGTCTTAAATGAACAATAAAAAAATACTGTAAAAATTGTCATAAAAATATGGGGAAACTATTCTTCCATTAGCATCAAATATCTTGGACAGCTGCACACAGGACAAGAAACGTCGAATGAGTATTAAACGTAAAAATGGAACGAGAAATCATGTTTGTGAGCAAAAACTGCTTTATTTCTCGTTAAGAGCAGCACTGTCTATCTAAAGAGGAAGGTACGCAACTGCACCACTTACAGTGTAGATGTTATTATTTGGATAATTGCATTTTATTTTGACGCTCCTCAACTTTAGAAAACACTTTTAAAAGCAATCAGAAATGCAGACAATGGCACCTCACTAGTACAGAGCACAACTATCAGAAGTTATAAACAAGGTTAGTCGTGACACCTCTAGAACTGCCAATTCCCGGCTGGAGTCCGTACCGCATGAACAGAGAAACAATCCGGTCTGCACCAAAAAACCGAGAGCTAATCCACAATGCTAACAGCCCTTTGTTAAAACTCAAGGTCCGAGACAGCAATAGGGCAGTACTGGCAATGTCTTGTGTCCCTGAGTTGTGTAACTTTTCAGTGCACTGAAAAGCCGTTTTTTTTAACCAAAATCAAAATGCAACGGGATGCAGAAATCTTAGATCATGAAGGAACTGGGGTCTGTCGATGCATCAGCTAAAGGGGTCTTTAATACCACAATCGTTACTTCGCTAAAAAGCCACTTACCAGCTGCCAGTATCCCTACACTCGCTCAGTATAACCTTCTCTGAGCACACAGAGGCACCATGACTTTAACTGAGGGACAGTTTCCACTTCCCGGTCGCGGAGCAGACAACCTTACATCTCCAGCTTCAGAGGGGGAGACAGGAACAACAATTTCAGCATCGACAAGGATACGGACGCCTCCGCTAGTCAAAAAAGCGCTACCGTGGCCGTACAACCTCTTTTACCATTAACAGACAGTCAATTGATGACCAGCGTGCATTTTTTACTCAATTAGTTGATTACTCTTATACACACACACACCCCTATTTTTTCCGATGATTGTTCGGTTCCGCTGAAGGTGACCTTCAGTTCATTCATGCATGCCGCTTCCAGCACATGTGTGCAGCTGCATTATGAGATCAGAACTGTTATGAGAGGGGGGTCTTCCGTCCATAGAGTGGTATAATTCTTACAGAGCCCCAACGTGTGGCTGAAAATAGCGATCTTTTCACGCAGCTTTCTTATCAAGGTTTGAATGTTATTCCCCCCAAAACTGAATGTTATTATTCATAAGCTACCCTCTCGAACCAACTCAAGTAGCTGCAAGCTCAGTAAGTAACCAAGCTCCCACAGCACAAAAACCTCGTATAAACAGTCCCGTGAAACGCAATTTATCTTTTACACCGTCAAACAGTGACCGACAGGATAGGGGACTCTGGACAACAAGAGAAAGCTGAGCTTCAGCTTTGAGGGACAGACCCCAATAATAAATGAGCCTCACACAGACAGTTATCAAACCGCAACTTTCGAAAACTGGTAAAGA